AGGAGCAAGGGGAGGGACGGAGAGGGGATTCAGCGCGGGGGGGGCGTCAATCTCTGTGTTTTAAAATTAAATTATAACGCTTATATATGTATATGTGTGTGTGTGTGTGTATATATGTATTTAAGGAGCCGCTTTGTCGTTCTGCTCCTTCTGCTTCTAGGGAAGGCGCCTTCGGGTTGGGCGCGCACTTGGCGTTGCCCTCCCGGCCCCGCATCCCGAGTGCGTGATTCGATCCCAAGGAGATGCACCCGGACGGACACACACACACACACACACCCACACACACACACACACCTGTGCCGCTCTGGGAAAGCGCGCCCCGGGGATAGTCTCCTTGCGGCGGGTTCTTGGGACGGAGCTGCTCTGGTCCAAGCCCGTCGCAAGGCAGGGAACGAGTGGGACGCGAGGCGGAGCCGGGCAGCGGATCGCGCCGGGACACGGATTTAAGCGAATCCTTCGCTCGTGATTTTTTCCCTAGCACCTCATGCGAGCCGGCAAATAAAAAAAGTGGGGGGATTTAACTGAATAAAAAAAATAATAATAATAAAAGGACGGATGACATTTGTTCTCTAAAACGACTCAGCTCAGAAGCACCAAAGTGCCAACTTCAGAGCTCAAAACCGAAGGGCTTTCAATAAGCTGCCTAGAGACGTGTTGCTGAAAGGAAACTCCCGTTAGATCCCGGCTCCTGCGCGACCCTTCCCTGCTGAGAATCTCGCCAGGTCATTAAGAGGGAGAAGAAAATCATCCGAGTCGCCCTGCCGGAGTTTCAGCGCATAGAGAGAGTGGGAGAAAATGGTGCTTTGTTGCTTTGAAACGGGCAAGAATCAGCTGCTGAGCTTCCCCCGCGCTCCTCGAAAACATGTATCTTCCTATAATAAGCAGGACTAATATTTAGGAGAGCTCAGGTGATTTCAGGGTGGCACCGACACCAGAGGTGGGGAGCGGCAGGAGCGAGATCGGGGCACCAAACCTGGGTCTCCTCCTGTCACGGCCCAGGGAAAGCGAGGGGAACCAGCCTCCCAACCTCCATGCAGAAAATAATAATAAAAT